TACACCTATTGATTTCGGATCGAGCCCAAAACTTGGGCAACAACATAATGTGGTGGGAGGAGTCTTTGGGTGCGTTTTGAGTGAAATCCAATCGGTAGAACTATAAATTACCCCAACCACTCCAATTTGGAACGAACTGCCTTTGAACTTGAATTGTACAATTTCATACCCCTATTGATTTCGGATCGAGCCCAACACTTGGGCAACAACATAATATGGTGGGAGGAGTCATTTGGTGTGTTTTGAGTGAAATCCAATCGCTCGAAGTATGGAATACACCAACCACTCCAATTTGGAACGAACTATCTTTGAACATGAACTGTCCAATTTCTTACAACGATTGATTTCGGATCAAGCCCAAAACTTGGGCAACAACATAAGATGGTGGGAGGGGTCATTTGGTTTGTTTTGAGTGAAATCCAATCGCTAGAAGTATAGAATACACCAACCACTCCAATTAGGAATGAACTGCCGTTTAACTTGAATTGTCCAATTTCTTACACCTATTGATTTCGGATCGAGCCCAAAACTTGGGCAACATCATAATATGGTGGGAGGAGTCATTTGGTGTGTTTTGAGTGAAATCCAATCACTAGAACTATGAATTACCCCAACCACTCCAATTTGGAACGAACTGCCTTTGAACTTGAATTGTCCAATTTCTTACACCTATTGATTTCGGATCGAGCCCAACACTTGGGCAACACCATAATATGCCAGGAGGAGTCATTTAGTGTGTTTTGAGTGAAATCCAATCACTAGAACTATGAATTACCCCAACCACTCCAATTTGGAACGAACTGCCGTTGAATTTGATTTGTCCAATTTCTTACACCTATTGATTTCTGATCGAGCCCAAAACGTGGGCAACATCATAATATGGTGGGAGGAGTCATTTCGTGGGTTTTGAGTGAAATCCAATCGCTAGAAGTATGGAATACACCAACCACTCCAATTTGGAACGAACTTCCTTTAAACTTGAATTGTCCAATTTCATACGCCTATTGATTTCGGATCGAGCCCAAAACTTCGAAACATCATAATGTAGTGGGAGGAGTCATTTGGTGTGTTTTGAGTGAAATCCAATCGGTAGAACTATGAATTACCCGAACCACTCCTATTTGGAACGAACTGCCTTCGGACTTGAATTGTCCAATTTCTTACAGCGATTGATTTCGGATCGAGCCCAAAACTTGGGCAACATCATAATATGGTGGTAGGAGTCATTTGGTGTGTTTTGAGTGAAATCCAATTGCTAGAACTATGAATTACCCCAACCACTCCAATTTGGAACGAACTGCCTTTCAACACGAATTGTCCAATTTCTTACACCTATTGATTTCGGATCGAGCCCAAAACTTGGGAAACATCATAATATGATGGGAGGAGTCATTTGGTGTTTTTTCAGTTTAGTCCAATCGCTAGAAGTATGGAATACACCAACCACTCCAATTTGGAACGAACTGCCTCTGAACATGAATTGTCCAATTTCTTACAGCGATTGATTTCGGATAGAGCCCAAAACTTGGGCAACAACATAAGATGGTGGGAGGGGTCATTTGGTGTGTTTTGAGTGAATTCCAATCGCTAGAAGTATAGAATACTCCAACCACTCCAATTTGGAATGAACAGCCGGTGAACTTGAATTGTCCAATTTCTTACACCTATTGATTTCGGATCGATCCCAAAACTTGGGCAACATCATAATATGGTGGTAGGAGTCATTTGGTGAGTTTTGAATGAAATCCAATTGCCAGAACTATGAATTACCCCAACCACTCCAATTTGGAACGAACTGCCTTTGAAGTTGAATTGTCCAATTTCTTACACCTATTGATTTCGGATCGAGCCCAAAACTTGGGCAACATTATAATAAGGTGGGAGGAGTCATTTGGTATGTTTTGAGTGAAGTCCAATCGCTAGAAGTATATAATACACCAACCACTCCAATTAGGAACGAACTGCCGTTGAACTTGAATTGTCCAATTATTTACACCTATTGATGTCGGATCGAGCCCAAAACTAGGGCAACATCATAATGTGGTGGGATGATTTATTTGGTGTGTTTTGAGTGAAATCCAATCGGTAGAACTGTGAATTACCCCAAGTACTCCAATTTGGAATGATCTGCCTTCGAAGTTGAATTGTCCAATTTCTTACACCTATTGATTTCGGATCGAGCCCAAAACCTGGGCAACACCATAAGATGGTGGGAGGTATCATTTGGTGAGTTTTGAGTGAAATCCAATCGCTAGAACTATGGAATACACCAACCACTCCAATGTGGAATGAACTGCCTTTCAAATTGCTTTGTCCAATTTGTTACACCTATTGATTTCGGATCGAGCCCAAAACTTGGGCAACATCATAATATGATGGGTGGAGTCATTTGGTGTGTTTTGATTGAAATCCAATCGCTAGAAGTATAGAATACACCAACCACTCCAATTAGGAATGAACTGCCGTTGAACTTGAATTGTCCAATTTCTTACACCTATTGAATTCGGATCGAGCCCAAAACTTGGGCAACATC